CTGTCTCCTTATCCAGCACTGAGGCAGAATATGTTGCTCTCTCAGAGGCATCTAGGGAGGCTGTTTACTTAAGAAATTTAATGTATGAACTTATTGGTAAAAGAGGGATTATTAAATTGAAATGTGATAATCAAAGTGCATTAAAATTGGCAACAAGTCATCAGGCACATGCTAGGTCAAAACATATTGATGTTCGCTTTCATTATGTTGAGATGCAGTTAAAAATAAATTAATTAATATTGAATACATTTCAACTCAAGAAATGCCCGCTGACTTGTTAACCAAAGGTCTTTTGTCGACTAAGCATTATAAGTTCATGGACATGTTGGGATTTAAGGCTAAATAAGTAAAAACATGTATTTTGTTTAGAAATTCACATTTATTTTGTTATGTGGGGGTATTGGAATAGATAACAATATAAATGAAAATGTGTGAAGTAACGCCATCTAGGTTGTACTGTGTGTAACTATGTGTAGCGCGGTCAACTGTCATGTATAAACTAAAGGTTAGCCTATTACGGAAAAGCAACGTGTTTTAATAATGGGTTCCATTGATTTTCGACCTTTTTTCTTGGTAATGCATCCCGACGCAAGTCCTGAAGAGACATTTATCCTGAACTGTTTCAAATCGAGAGTCGAACCGCAGCAGCGTTTTTGAAACAAAATGTACGCGTTGACTACCGTAGTATCGACAAAGTGACAAACTATCCTATGGTACCACTTCTTGCTTTTTCGATCTATCGCGTAGCATTCTTTTAGCATGTCCGCCTTATCGACGGCACCCATATGTTTATTGTAATCCACAACCAAAGACGTTACTTCTGACACAGTTCCATCTTTATTCTTTCTATTGATTGTTATGGTAATTTGACGAGAAATAAACAGGTTTTTTGTCTTTCCATTTTAGACATACCAACATATCATTTGTCGTTCTCCAGTCATATTGGCCTCGCGCTAGTTTTTTATCATCGATAAAGTCATCTGGCAAATATTTTTCCCTTTTCTCAAAGTGCCACAAACACATAATTCCATTTTGTTTCAAGTAGCTGAGCAGTGGAACACTTGAAAAATTGTTGTCAAAAAAAATTCTATAATTTTGTTGTTGCAAATCTCTTGTCAAGTCTTTGACTACTCTTCCTCCTAAATCTTTTTGTGGCAAATCACCAATCTTACCAGAATATATTTGAAATTCGCAAATATACACTGAATCATCAGCCCGCACCCAAACTTTGTATCCACTCCATTTATTTTTTTCTATAAAAAAAAATAAATGACCGTTTACAGTCCTAGTGGTTACCTCAAGAAACCACTACATATTACATGGAACAAAACCCTGTCAGCTGGTAAATTGATCAATTGAGTCGGAAGGTATGAAATATTACAGTTATAAAACTAAATACTGACGTGTCATTTCAATTTTCACTCAGTGTGTTCACGTTTACAAACAGCCGAAAAAAGACACACGCGGAACCTTCGCAATGGATAAAGAAACTTCTTGGAATACACACTTCCTCGCACGGGGCAGAGCCGTCAATTTTTTTCCCGATAGATGTCACTAACGGTAATACTTTTAAACCGCGGTAAGGCTACCCGACCAGTAGGACTGAAATTACGTGTTTTAATATAGGTGGTTACATGGATCGACCAGAAGAACGGAAAGGGTTGTTTAAAAATGTGTATAGTAACGCATGATTTTCGAATATCGTAGCGCATTTGTTCAATTACTCACAAGAAAAAACGCAACCTTTGTTTTTCGCATAAAAATAGTATTTATCTTTCGCAAAACTAGTAGCGATGGTCGGAAAACATGTTTTGGGATAAACAATTATCAAATATTTCTTGACTAATCTACTCCAATTTTGTTGTGGTTATTTAGAAGTATGAATCCTACGGATTTGAAGAATTTCAAGTAGTTGCGTGAAATTATCGTTGCATTACCATATTACCAACACCGGTGTGAAGTTGGCAGACAAAATTTAGCAGACAATGACCAGTGGCGTCGACATCCTCAACCAGCCTGTGATTGTGAAGGATACAGCTAACAGCTCGTAACAATAAATATATATGCAACAGAATGAGCACCCCTATAGGAAGAATCATTTTCGACCCCATTTAAATAATTCGCCGGAACAAGACTTAACCCAAAACCTTTCTTCGAATAAATTTCACTTACGGATTATTGTATATGTGGTATTGAAAATAATTAATTAGCTAAATAGCATATACCGAGAAAATCTCTAAAGGGGTGATAGAAAGAAAAAATATAAATAATACCACATTTTCACCCCCAAGGAAATGATTCCCCAAAATGATTTGTATGCCTCTATTATAGAGACAATTTATGGGCTAGGTGGCATGGTGTGAGAAAGCTTCTGATATCATTTTCACCTCCGAAGAAATGATTCCCCAAAATCAAAAAATTGCTGCTACCCCTTCAGAAGCTTTCTCACACCATGCCACCTAGACTTTAAATTGCCTTATCGTTTCCTTGGGGGTGAAAATGAATTTATAAACATATTTTTTTGCCACCCTTTCAAAAGCTTTCTCACACCATGCCACCTATCCTATAAATTGTCTCTATAATAAAGTATTGTTTTGTGGTGCAATTCATTTTAGGGAATTCATTTTCTTGGGGGTGAAAATTAATTTGTAAACATCTCGTCTCTATAATAGAGTATTGTTTAAGGTACAACTGATTCTGGGGAATCAGTTCCTTGGAGGTGAAAATGAATTTTTAAACGTATTTTTTTATCCGCCACCCTTTCAGAAGCTTTCTGACACCATGCTACTTAGCCTATAAATCGATTCTATAATAGAGTATTGTTTTGAGGTGCAACTCATTTTGGGGAATCATTTTCTTGGGGGTGGAAGTGAATTTATAAACATATTTTTTTATGTCAGTCCTTCAGAAGCTTTCTCACACCATGCCACCTAGCTTATAAATTGTCTCTATAGTCGAGTACTTTTTTGAGGTACAACTGATTTTGGGGGATCGTTTCCTTTTGGGGAATCATTTGTTTGGGGGTGAAAATGAATTTATAGTCATATTTTTTTATCTGCCAACCCTTCAGAAGCTTTCTCGCACCATGCCACCTAGCCCATAAATTGTCTCTATAATAGAGTATTTTTTTGAGATACAAATCATTTTGGAGAATCATTTCCTTGGGGGTTATATTTTTTGATCTACCAGCCCTTTAAAGAGTTTCTCAGTATTGTACTTAGCTCATTAAATACTTTCAATGCCACATATACAATAATCCGTAAGTAAAATTTATTCGAAGAAAAGTGTTGGGTTGTCTTGTTCCGACGAATTATTTAAATGAGGTGGAAAATGCTTCTTCCTATAGGGGCGACCATTCAGTTGCATATATATTTATTGTTACGAGCTGTGAGCTGCATCCTTCACAATCACAGTCTGGTTGAGGTTGTCGACGCCACTGGTCATTTGAGTATCTTCGCGAAATTGTGTGCTAAATTTTGTCTGCCAACTTGGCAATATGGTAATGCAACGATAATTTCACGCAACTACTTGAAATTCTTCAAATCCGTAGGATTCATACTTCTAAATAACCACAAGAAAATTGGAGTAGATTAGAAGTAATTGAACAAATGTGCTACGATATTCGAAAAACATGCGTTACTATACACATTTTTAAACAAAGCTGATATGTCTATCATTTTTTGTTGCGAATTACTCACAAATACGAAATGTTTGAATTTGCTTAGAAGAAAAAATGTAACCTATCCTTTTTTGCATAAAAATAACATTTAACTTCCGGAATGGTTTGCGATTCAAATCGGCAAGGTAAATTAGTGTAATGGTAACAAGCCCACATAATAGTCGCAGCGGCCCACGCACTCGGGCGACCGCGATAAGACACGAGCCGGTACCGACGGTCCCCGATGGACTACCAAGTGTATCCATAAATGAAAATGGTAACAACCGACAACCAAGTCGAGATGAGTCAGCTTCATCGTGTTCGCAAAACCTAGACACTATAGGGCGCATTATTTTCGTGGGGCTAATTTGCTATGTACTGAATTACTATTACATATTGCTGTTGGTAAAAAAATAAATGAACTTATTTCACAGTACTTAGTCATAAAATATTTATTTTTACATGGACGCTTCGCCACTGGCTCTAAGGGCGGTAGAAGAGAGCTAGATCGCCGATGGCCCGCCTGTGCGGAGCATAAATAATGTAGTCGGGGCGGCAGCACCACAAAGTGTAAGAAATACTAGGTCCCATCTGCGTCTTGTATAGAGTGAGGAGGTCATGCGGAGAAAAGTACTTATTTGTCCTAAACAAATAGCATAGCTTTTTCCCAGCAGCTGCCGCTATTGACGAGATGTGTTCGTGCCAGATAGTCCTCTGTGATCTGGACTCCAACCAGCCGAAATGAACGGCTCTTTGGTAGAACTCGGTTGTCCATCGAAATTGGATGATCCCTAAGTCGCTTTTTATTCGTCAAGGCACAGTACTGTGCGAGGACGCTTCTTGATCGTCAAAGTACTGTAGTGAATTTTGGAAGCACTAAACTGTACAAGATTGTTGCGACCCCAAGCAGTAATAACCTCCAGGTTTTTTGTAATTTCGCTCGCAAGCAGTAACTTAGTAACTAGGAAACAAATTGGCCGGAGAAAGATTTCACTTTAAACATTTTAAAAGTATATAACTTTTTTCTTTTTAGAGATAAATAGATATTTTTTTACTTGATGACTGAATTTAATCTATATTTTATTTACCTGTTACTTCTTATTCAATTCTGAATATCATTTAACTTCTCCATTAATGTAGTGGGAGGGCGTATATTTTATCATTTGCGTCAGTTGCCTCAGAGCGCACAAAATGCTGAAATCGGACCGCAAATATTAGATATTTCTCAAGTCACGTACGTTGTAAATGACTTGTTCCCCTTATGCTAATAGACCAGAGAAACATTGTATTCACGTAAATCTATCAGTCATAACTTATTACTAAAGCTCACTGATATTCCAAGGACAAAAGGTGTAAGTTCTAGAAATCGGTGCAATTATATAGCGTGAATGAAAAAAATTAAGAGGTCAGTACTTGATTTTTCGATATTTTTCGAGTGCATAGTAATACTTTGGCGCAAATGAATAATTTCCTGGAGAAGAGAAAATTAAAAAAAGTGTGTCATGGACGTTTTTCAACTTTTCAGGAAAATCAGGGCGTAGTAAAAAATGTTTCGGGGATGCAAATGCGATGAAGTTAGGCCTATTCTTAGTTTACAGCACTACCATTAACGCACCCTATGTAAAATGTTACCGACAATACTTTTCGCGTTTCAGATATAGGGAGTACAGTTAGCTTAGAACAGCTACAAAAACACTTGAGGGGCTTAACATTTTTATCTGACCGACCTAATTCAAAAAATGATATATATTAACGCGCAGAATCAACCATCTTCACCCTTATTTTTATTCATATCAGTAATGTTTGTCCATTCACTCATTCAGATTCTCTATATAATAATAGATTACTGACCAGGGGCCTGATTCTAAATGGGTATCGACCGTTGAAATTCATTTCGATGGCGCCTTGTGTCCATACACTTGATTCGCTATGATAATTTTGACACTGCCATGACAATTTGAATATAGGAGATCTATATAATTAGATGACAAAATTATCATAGCCAATCGAGTATGTCGTCACAAGGCGCCATCGAAATTAATTTCAACGGTCGAAACTCATTAAGAATCAGGCCCATGGTGTGGTAATAAGAATGAAGTTAAAATCCATTGTTTGTAACTGCGAGGATATCTAGAAGTGCAATATATTTCAAAACGTGCAGTTTCCGAAATATTTTGATAGGCTACTCACAATAAAACAGAAAAAAACGTTAGAGAACTTTTTATGGAGTGATTTAAATAAGTGTTAGGTATGGAAAAGGGTAACGGTAACTTTCTGGACAGAAAACCCATAATTAAAGTCTACAAAAGAAGATGGACCATTTTGCTCATGTATATTGCCTACAACACGATCAGCAGTTTTCAATGGGTAGAATATTCTATTATAACAAACCTAGTGACGGAATATTACAATGTGGAGGCTAGCACAGTGGATTGGACGGCCATGATTTTCATGGTGGCATGGCCTGTTATGGTGTTTCCTGCTTCCTTTATTATAGACAAGATGGTAAGATATTTATAACAATTTATAAAACCTTAGAAAGTATATATATATATAGGGTGGCCCATCCACGTGTGGACGGAATATGACTCATAAACAAATACATTTTGAGAAAATCTATTTATGGGATGCTTACACGACATTTGAGGGCACATTTCTAAAATATCGGCAATTATACAGGGTGTACCAATTTTGACCTACATATCAAAATTGTGATTCTTTAAATGGAATGCCTCAAACTTTATTGCATATTTGGATACACCAATTCAGAAGAAGAAGATTGATATAACATACTATGGGGTTTTGGTAATTAGCTACTGAGATGTAAGGTGTTTTGTCCAGAAAAACCGTCCACTTCGGCAACCCCTCAATATGCCATTTTGAAATTTGGAGTGCTGAATTTTGCAAAAACGCAACTTGTAGTTTTTCTCAAAAATCTCAAATGCATCACCCTGTATATTTTTGCAAGTTTGGATTCAACTTTTTATCAGCTTTTTTTGATACTAGATACATAATGGTTTTTACGGCTATTTTTTCGGCTATTAGCAAGTCTTTTATGGAACGGCTTAATTTCTTAAAATGTCACATCTTCCTTGGAAACATAAATTGTTGATTAGTTACAAACTGTCAAAATTAGCTTTGAGAGCATTATAATAAAAACTTGATTGAAAATGAATTTTTCTAAACAAGAAATGGTGAATATGGCGTTCGTTTTCTGAGAAGCCCAGAGAAATAGTTTCCTAGCATCTCGCATTTATAAGCAACGGTACCCTAATATGCGATATCCAAGGCCGGAAACATTTTCCACACTAAGAGAACGTTTTGAATCATGTGGAGCAATAGAATATAGTAAAAAATGTATAAATAATCCAAGTGTCACCAATGAGGCGAATCAGTTGGAGATCCTATTAAATATGCAGGAAAATCCCCACTTAATTGCGCAGCAAATTGGAGTAGAAACTGATGTATGCAGAACTTCTGTCCAAAGGATTATTCACAAGCATAGGTACCATCCATATCACCTATGCTTGCAGGTTTTCGCAGCTCGAATGGAGTTTAGTAGAATAAGTCTAAATAAAGTGATTGAAGTTCCTGGATAAGGTTCTTTTTAGCGATGAGGCAACAGATTTCCAAAGTAAATGGAGCTTGAATGTTTGGGGAGGAGTTATTGACAGACAAGTTATCGGGCCTTTCTTTTTCGACAACAGATTAACAGGTACAGGATACTTGAATTTTTTGATCGAGCATTTGCCTTTGCTTTTGGAGGATGTCAACCTGCAAATCCGGATGTATGACCGTTTGTAACTACGTTTTGATAACTGATTATAATAGCTCTTCAACTTTTCTCGAAAAAAAAAATGTTTCCTAAATTTCAGAGAGAAGGGAGCACCGTACGCGACAGACTTCTTTCTTTGGAGCTGAGGTGTAAGACCGTTTGTAACTACTTTTTGATAATTAATTTATAATAGCTCTTGTTGTGTATTTTAAACCCTGAAAATCGCATTGACGCACTTCTGCAACTTTTCACGAAAAAAAAGTTTTCCTAAATTTCAGAGAGTAGCGCGTACCGTACACGTCAGGCCTGTTTGGTATGAGTTGAGGTGTACGACTAGCTTTAGATATGAGCCTACAAACTCTGCAGAACCACATAATGCAATACCGCAATAGCATAAGACTCGTAGGCAGAGATAGAAAATATATATAATTACCGCGCTCACCTCGTATGCACCTCACATCGCTGGCCGACAGCTTTATTCTGGTGTGCTGTAATCTAGCGGCGCGTAGGATTGTGGAGCCAGCTTTTGGAGATACCTTCACACGCATGCCCAGGCCTAGAAAAGCTCCTGTTGAACTCGATAGATTTTAACTTTTATGATTATACAGGCTTATGCCCACCTTTAATTTACAAATTGCAGTGTAACATATGCCAAAGCAAATTGACTTTTTATTTCTGTAAGGTTGTCTCCTCCAAATATGATTTCAAGTGCCTGGATGCATCAATCCAATCTTCGGAAAATCAGTCGCCTCTTTATTCTTCCAAAATAGATATGGAAAAACTGTAGCGTTTATCTGGGTTCTTTTGGGTGTGAATTAAAACACTGGATTCCACAAAAAGAAATGCACCAATTTATTTATCTTGACTAGACAGAACATTTATGTACACCAGTATTTATGACTGACTAATTCTTATGTCGCTCCGTTGACTGGACTATACTTCACTTCGCTCTGCTACTCTACCATACTTTCCTTCCCTTTTCCGGCCGTCGGGTTATATAGTCCGCATCGTTTGTCGAGAAGAGTCTGACGGGCCACAAAGCGGAAGTCTAGACTCTTCGAGGTCACTTAGCGTCAATCTAGAAGGCAAGTCACTGGCATGGTCCTCAACAGATATCGCCAAGAGGCTTGTGAGGTCGTGATCCGCGTAAAAGCAGAGATCGGCCATGAAGCTCTGGTGTCAGGAGAGTCTCCCAACAGATGGCACCAACAGTACTATTTATTCTCGTCACAAAACATTAAAAATCTTACACCTTGGTGTGTGCTGCATTCTTAAAAAATACGCAATACCGACTCTTATGGCCATTAGCATGGTGAGCCCTAAATTGGTCAAATGTCATATCCGGTTCTGGTTGGATTTTCCGCACCGCTGCATCTTCGTTGTTTCCATGATAAGGTGCAAGGCGGTTGAAATGTACAATTCGGGCTTTACCGCGTGGTGCCTTCTGAATCCTGTAGAGAACATCATTGATGGACTCCAGAACTTTATATGGTCCATCCCAGGATGATTGAAGTTTAGGCAACAGCCCTTTTCGCCTCTTTGGGTCGTAAAGCCAAACCGTATCACCGTTGTCATACCTCTGGTCTTTGGCATTAACGTCATAAGCTTCCTTCATCTGGTCGCTGGCACCTTGAATTAAAACACGAACCTGGCTACGGATGGCGTCCATTCTTCTATGCAGTTCTCTCACGTAGTCTTCTCCGGCAATAGCGGTTCCTGGTGAACAGCCAAACTTTAGATCGCAGGGGAGACGAAGGCTAATATTTTGACATGACATGATTCTGTCTTCTATGGTTGTAAAGTGTTTATAGAGAGCTTCAAAATGAGGTATCAGATGACCCCCCACTCTTTTTAAAAGTGTCGTAAGATGGCAATCAGTCAAATTGAAATTAAAGGGATTTGCTGTAGGTCTTTCTTTGTTCACGATCGTTGATATCATTCTCATTTGAACCTTGAGATTACAGATGAATTGTAGGATATGAGTCCACTAGGGCAGTAGAGACAAACCCCGAAAACTTTCGATTTTCAGACGTGTGCCCATCAACTTTAGCAAAACAGAAGCACGTAACGAAATTTTTATTCACAAGTTGCATGTTACATAACTTCGTCTTATTACAATATTCACAAACTTTGTAAAGCTCAACACTTTCTTCATAGATCAACAACAATTTGGTATTGTATTGGCGCATTGAAGCTTTTGGTTTCCTTTGCGGTCCATTGCTTGCCGGACACACAACACATTTCCTGCACCAGTCTTTTACGTCCTCTTTACTATTGACCCAGTAAAATCTTTCCCTCACTTTTCCCAGGGTTTTTGTAACTCTGAGCTGACTTCCTGACATACCGGAATGGATTTCTTCTAACAGCTCCGCGATCCGACATCTGGGGATAACGATTTGCCTTCTTTTCGTCGTGGTACATCACTTTACGCAGTAAGAGTCCGTCATCCATAATGAGAGAATTCCATTGTGTCCAATAAGATTTTACGGTACGGGAATACTTGGCAACTTCTTCCCAGGCTGGTTTCCGTTGTTCTTTCATCCAGTTCAGAATTATTTGGAGATCGGGGTCGCCTTCTTGGTCTTTAGTGAGTTCTTCATTTTGCCAAGTATCACTAACGATAGTGGTTCTTAATACTTGGGCGTCTTTCTCCTATGCTCGCTGGAAATGCGTACAATCCTCTAAACAGGGTCTCCTCGATAAGACATCTGCATTTCCATGGATTTTTCCCGCTCGATGTTCGATGTTGAAGTCAATCTCTTCTATGCATCTTGCAACTTCACCCTCTGGATTCTTAAACTGGAAAAGCCATTTTAAATCTGCGTGATCGGTCTGGAGTAAGAATTTTCTGCCATAGAGATATTTGTAGAAATGATCCATTGCCTTTACAACGGCCAGCAACTCCCTCCGGGTAACGCAATAGTTACGCTCTGGTTTGGACAGTGTTTTGCTAAAATATCCAATGATCTTCTCTTCTTTGACTTCCTGGACTAGGGATAACACACATTGCTAGCATCAGTGTCTAACACAAACTTTCCTTCTGGCAGTGAATAGCTGAGTATAGGGGCGCTTGTTAAAGCTTCTTTCAAGTGGGTAGGAGCTTGTTGGCAATCCTGATCTCATTGGAACTTGCGTTTCCCTTCTGTCAGCCTGGTCAATGGTTTGGCGATGTTAGCAAGTCCTTCCACGTAACGTCGGTAAGATATACACAATCCTAGGAAGCTGCGTAGCTCACGTTTGTCCTTCGGAACTGGCCATTCTTTTACAGTCCGGATTTTCTCCTTGTCGACCGCGACTCCCTGACTGGAAACAACATGGCCAGGATACTGCCCATCTCTTTGAAACAGGTGGCATTTCTTTGGGCTTAATTTCAAGCCAGAACCTCGTAGCCTTAAGAAAACTTCATCTAGGTTCTTCATGTGGTCCACAAATGATTTTTCCATCAGGATAACGTCATCAAGGTAAAACAAGTACGTTTACCAGGATAGTCCTCTTAGAATCGTGTCCATCAGCCTCTTTCAAAGGTGGCAGGAGCATTGCACAGGCTGAATGGCATCACATTAAACTGCCATAATCCGGTGCCCACCGTGAATGCTGTCTTCTGCCGATCTTCAGGGGCCATTTCTACTTGCCAGTATCCACTTTTTGGGTCTAGGGTGGAAAACATTTTTGATCCAGCCACGGTATCCAGAGTGTCATCAATACGCGGTAGACGGTAGCTGACCTTCTTGGTCACGTTGCTTCACATTCGTTAGTCCACACAAAATCTGGTTGAACCATCTTTCATTTTAACCAAAACTACCGGTGAGGCCCATGGACTGTTGGACGGTTCAATGATTCTCTCGTTGGCTATTCTGTCTACGATCTTGTCAGCCTCCTCTCTTCTAACAAGTGGGAGCCTTCTTGCCATCTGCCGGATGGGGCGGGCATTTTCCGTATTGATATTGTGCTGGACTATACTGGTTATTCCTTTATGCCCAGTATCGAATACATCCCGATATCTATGTATTAGATGTTTCAGTTTCTTTCTTTGGTCTGGTCTTAGATCTCTGCCTGATGACGAAATTAGTTCTTCCTGTTTCTTAGGAATGACCCCTGAGTTTCCCACAGCTGGCATATTTCGAATGATTGCAGAAACTGGACAGCAGTGTCTCATCTCCGAGTCCTTCTTCAATGACACAGGGTAATGACTGACATTCATTAGCCTCACAGGAATAGTTTTATCGGCATGCGGAAGGGCCTTTGCAACTGCTATCCCTCGGCTAATAGCCTCTTCATGCATCCTAGGTTCAAACATCGCTATTTCTCTGTCTGTAGTCTGGCCTTGTACCAAGCCATTCAATACAACTTCGCTTAGTTCTGGGATCACGGTGTCTTCAGGTAATAGAACTCGTACGTTTCCATTCCTTTCCCGGTTTAAAATGACTTCCTCATTGTTGACTCCCAAAATTCCTTGCTTAAAGTTCAACTCGAATTCCTTTGTGTTCATGATTTCCATTCCGATGATTACCTCATCCTTAATATCAGTTACTATCGCCGGATGTTCGAATGTAGCTTTTCCTATTCCAAATGCGATGTTTACTTCACCGTACACGCTTGCTCGGTCTCCCGTCGCAGTTCGTAGTCGCCATTTGGATGGTCGAATCTTCGCCGATGCTTTCACCATGTCGGGCCTGATGATAGTTTTAGTCGCACATGTATCCAGCAGTACGGTGTGGAGAGTCCCATCGATAAATGCATCGCCAAAAACACTATTAGACCGATGTTTAACCGAGGAGACTTGGACGGTATTAACTGATTGGACTTGTTGGCTACAGGTCGACGATAGCCCCTTCACATCGAACTCCCTTAGTTTTCCGGATTGGCCGGATGAGGACTAACACCTTTAGGACAGCGTCTCCTAACGTGCCTTATTATTCCACAATTCCAACATTCCAACTTGCTGTTCTGGCGGCGACGTTCACTCCATCAAGTTCCTTAAAAATGCGCTTGTCGTACTCTTCTACCTCGTTATCTCCTGGTACCATCTGACGGACTCGGACCTGGCTTTTATTTGTGTTTTTAGCGAGTTAGAATTCTAAGGCCCGAGTTAGCGCATCTACTAGCTTAGGTGGATGTGCTAGTAGTAAGGCTTTCCTCATTTCACCACCACGAAGTCCATCCAGGAATGCTTGAACTGCCAATCGCTCCATTATCCTTTCCTGAACATTGGGATATGCTAATCGTACCAGCCGCGCAGTATCCGCTTCGAACTCCTGCAAGGACTCGCCTGACTTCTGGAACCGATTTATTTAGTTGAGTGTGGTAGAAATGTTCTAAATGTGACTGGCCATATCGCATCTCCATGGATCCTACTAGTTGTTCGTAGACCTCTTGCTCTTCGGGTGATATTCTTTAAGGAATAGCTGCAGCATCTCCTCATAGGACCAAAGTGAGTGCAGTTGTCTTTTCGGTCGATCACCAACCATTTGCATTCGCGGCTGTCTCGAACTGACGACGGTAGTCGTTCCAAGGCGTTGTACCATCAAATTGCGGCGGTTTCACTCGCAGATGACCCAACAGAAGCTCCAACCTCACTTGATTTTTCCAACGGTAAAGCGGCAAACTTGCCTTGCACTTCTTGAATTCTGTCTCCCAGAGTTTCTAAAATCCGTTTTTTCAACTCGCAAGATTTTTCCATAATTTTATCTTCCAATTCTTTTTTTAAATTGGCAGTATTTTCCAAAAACTCCACTTCTGATTTGGCTGTACTTTCGTGTAACATTTTCCATGAGCTTTCCTTCTAGGTTGGCACAATTTTCCACCAGTCTATTTTCTAACTGGGCTGTTTTCTAAAAGATCGGCACAATTTTCCAAGATCTGTCCTTCTAGGTTGGTACAATTTTCCACGAGCCTCTTTTCTAACTTGGTCGAGTTTTCTAAAAGATCGGCACAATTTTCTATGAGCTTGTTTTCTAACTTAGTCGAAAGGTGCTGCAGCATGCACCGGTAAAAATGAAATTATCCGGGTCCTCGCCATCCTCAATCAGTGCTTTACGAAGCCGCTTTTGCAATTCCGCTTTCTTTCCAGCCGGGTCGCACTCTCTTTCCTCCAGCTCTCTTTTTAAATCAGCGATTTTCAAAACAAACAATCACGCCATTCTTCCTTCACTGATCGTCCGATTTATTTTCACTAAATGTCCTATAACCTACACCCCACACCTGACACCAATGTAGCGTTTTCCTGGGTTCTTTTGGGTGTGGATTAAAACACTAATTCCACCAAAATAAATACACTAATTTATTTATCTTGACTAGATAGAACGTTTATGTACACCAGTATTTATGTATGACTAATTCTTATGTCGCGCCGTTGACTGGACTATACTCCACTTCGCTCTGCTACTCTACCATAGTCTCCTTCCCTTTCCCGGCCATCACGTTATATAGGCCGCATCGTTTGTCGAGAAGAGTCTGGCGGGCCACAAAGCGGAAGTCTAGACTCTTCGAGGTCACTTCGCGTCAATATAGAAGGAAAGTCACTGGCATGGTCCTCAACAGAGGTCGCCACGCGGTTTGTGAGGACGTGATCCGCGTAAAAGCAGAGATCGCCCATGAAGCTCTGGCGAGTAGGAGACTCTTCCAACAGATGGCGCCAACAGTACTATTTATTCTCGTCTCAAAACATTAAAAATCTTACACCTTGGTGTGTGCTGCATTCTTAAAAACATATTTCTTAGAGTTATAGTCTCAAATTTGTAGGTGAAGGTTCCCACTAATATAAAAAAATATTAGATAGGGCAGGGCACGTTTAAACTCAATTTCAAAGCATTTACACATTATACATACTTGTAGCCTGACACTGTGCAATCCGAAATCCAACAATGATTGTGACATCAACAATGCAGCTGCACTTGGGATACAATGTTTCTTATCCAACATCTCATAAAGTCTGTGAGAATGAACCACACCTGAAAATAATACGATAAGTAATCTACATAATATGAATATGCAATGATTCGTTTTGTAACTTACCCACTTACATGTGAGAAAATTATCATTTTCTTAGGGAAAATCAAACACTTCATAACTTGTATCACATGTATTCACTCCAGCATCTGTTACAAGACTGACTATGACTAACCACCTTGCCCACAAAAACACATCGCAGCACATCGGAATATTTACGGTCGCCAGAAGTAAACAAAACATATTCAATAGACAAAACATATTCAATAGACAAAACATATTCGATGGCGTAGCATAGCGATTCAGCGAAAGGCTCACACGGCCAATCCTGACACTAAATTCGTTCTCGAATTTTACCTCCTGACCCATGTTACAAGAACACCATTTAGACTATATAATGTAGCAAAGAGCACGTCATTTCAACGTTTAGACCCTCACGATCTAAACGCAAAGAGCACGTCTTTCAGCTTTTAACGATACATCATTCACCATTGCAAAGAGCACGTCATTTCAACGATTAGACCCTCACGATCTAAACGCAAAGAGCACGTCTTTCAGCTTTTAACGATACATCACTCACTATTGCAAAGAGCACGTCATTTCAACGATCAAGTCCTAATGACCTTGTCGCAAAGAGCACGTCTTTCAACAAGTAGCAAGATTTTATGATCCAGCAAGGTAAAGAGCACGTCATTTCAGCAGTCAAGGTCTCATTACCTTGATGCAAAGAGCACGTCTTTCAACCCAAAACTTTTTTTTTTCATTAATTTATTTTGTCAGGTTTTTGTAATACCAAGGCTCACACGGTTATAGCCTAACAAATACTTTATAATAACAACAACGTAAATCATAATCATTATTCATGTCTCTAAATATAACATTCAACATTCTCATAATACCAACAAAAGAATGTACAAAAAGGGATAAACAAATAACAATGGTTATTAAATGTTATCTTATTCAAATTCACCTGGCCATACCCGCATCATATCATTAGCAACAATTCTTTTGCGATTGGTCGCCAAATTTTTAATTTCTACTCGGTCATTAGGCAACAACTGTAAGATTTCGAATGGACCTTCGTATCTAGGGTCTAGTTTAGCTAGGTGCGAATTTCCAGATGGATGGAAAACTATGTCTCCTACTTTAACACTGTTAGTTGTTTTTCGGCTTTTATCAAATCTGTCTTTTGACTCTAAACCGCAACGCAGAGAGCGTTCGTAGGCAGTTTTACGATCATTAATTAAATTTTGATCAGTAGTCGTCACTGGTTTTATACTCTCTGTTAAATTCTGAATGTCCATGGTATCCATAAGTTGCCCTGTTAACAAATAGAGCGGGGAAAATCCCGTGGTTTTTTGGATAGTAGTATTAAGGGTCAGTTGTAACTTGGGGAGAACGCTCGCCCATTCTGACTTATTATTATTGACATTTACTCTGAGCAGGTCTAGAACTGTTGAGACGTATCGCTCTACCTGCCCATTTCCGCGTGGGGCACTGTTGGCAATTAGATGTTGGGTAATGTTTAATTTTGAGAGTAACTCTTTTACTTGTTTGGTTCCCCACTCAAAATCGACTCCTTTTTTTGTTAGGTTTGTAATACAAGCTGTGCGCGTTGAAAATTCAGGGATGTACTTGCGAAAGTACCCGGCTAGGCCCATAAATTGGCGGACCTGTTTTACATTTTTTGGATCGGGCGCATTGAATAAAGCTTTTAATTTTCCTTCGTCGGGCCTTACACCATCTCCGGAAATTTCTCGACCAAGATAAACAATTTTTTTCTGAAAAAATTTGCATTTGTTAATGTTTAAGCTGAAGCCCGCTGAGGTAAGGGACGCTAGGACCCGATCAAGTTTTTCTAAACCTGTCTGGATGGTTTTTGATGGAATGATTACGTCGTCCATATAAACCAGCGCATCGGTATCTTTGAGCTTACCCAGAGCTTTACAAATCGCCCGTTGAAATACTGCAGGGGAATTCGATAGACCAAATGGTGAACGCAGGTATTCAAAATGCCCGTCAGGCGTGACAAAAGCTGTTTTGGAAATAGAGTTTTCAGCCATAGGAATTTGATGAAACCCCGCTGCCATATCGAGAGTCGTAAAATACTTGCTTCCCCCCAGCTGATCAATTTGGTCGTCTATCCGTGGCAATGGAAACCGATCTTTAATGGTTATTCCATTAAGGGCGCGATAGTCTACGCATAAACGTCGGCTGCCATCTTTTTTGTACACCAGAATAACTGGACTAGCAAAAGGCGACGTGCTTTCACGTATGATATTGTTTTGCAAGAGGTCGTCAATAATATCTTTTACCTTTTCTCGTTCGGACAATGACATTCGGTAAGGGTTATAACAAATTATTTTATCGGTTTTTAATTTGATTTCCATTTCACCGGTTGTTACCGCCCTCACGGAATTACCAACAGTTATAGAATCGCTATATTTTGATAATAATTTCAACAAGGCGTCGAAATCATGTCCATTCAGTGGTGTTTGTATTTTCTCGGGAGAAATTGTTACGTTTTGAATCTTTTTAGATTCTATGTTATTTGTGTCATCGAGATAAATTCTAGACCCACATGAGTCAGTGTAAATTCTGATTCCTTTATGATTAAATAAATCTCTACCCAAAATTGCATCTAATTCCATAACAGAAGTTTCGACAACATAAAAACTAATTTCAAATGCCGTCCCCTCTCTCTCAACTAGTAAATTAGCCCTTTGACAACTTGGTATTGAGTTGCCTCCTACACCCTTTAACATTATGAAAGTTGGTTCGAAATGACAGTGTAATTTATGGGCGACTTTTTCGGATAGCAAACTACATTTTGCACCCGTGTCGATCAAACAGTTTACGGTCAAATTTTGTATTTTGAATTTTATGCAAAAGTCATTATCTAGATCTACGCAGAAATAGTTTATTTTGGAGAATCTGGACGACTTCTCTGCTTTATTTTCACTTTTGAAGAAGCATTTTTCAGAATTATGCCCGAATTTCTTACAGATCTCACAGGGTTTCGCAATACCTGGCAGATTATTTGAGCTTCTCGCCTTATTAGTATTATCGTATTTAAATAATTTAAGCGATTTTAAACAATTCCGGCTGATATGACCAGGTTGTTTACAGGAATAACATATTTTTCCCTCATCATTAGGTATGTTTAAACGGATTCGGGCGTTTTGGCGCCCCTACTTGAAGCTGAGAGTCTTGTTTATTAATTTGATAGTTGCTAAGCAAGTTAAGTAAGGTCGAAATGGAATCAACTCTACTATTAAAAGCAGCTGTTTTGACATGTGTGTCCGTTATATCACCAATAACTATCTCAACTATTTGACTATCACTCAAATTAAAATCTAGAGAGTTTAACAAACATATTTTTTTCCTTGCGTACTCACAATATCCCGTGGCTTGGTCACTTCTGTACATACTAGCTTTACGTAACCGCTCACTAAGATTCCTCTTCGCAGGATAAAGCTGACAAAGCTCGGCCCGGAAACTAGCCCAAACTTTATTTGATGGGTGCCAGTTGTCATACCAATCCTTTGCGTCACCTTCCAGGGCACCCGCGGCTCTGCAAAGCTGTTCAAAATCAGTCCACTTGAACGTGGTCGCCAAGGTCTCCATATCATCGCACCAACCCATCGCTCCCGCATCGCTTTTTGAGGGATCGAAAGCTGGAATGTTAATTGGCGCAGAGGGTGCTGGCACCACCGGTGCCGCTGCGGCTTGTTGGGGTTGCTGCTGAATTCCTCGAAGAACTGCAGTTAAAACGCTGGTTAATTCCTCCATTTCGACAGACTTTTAGCACATAAGTATCACTGCCAAAAGTAACGCTCACTAGGTATATACGCTCAGGACAATGAATTGCTCACGCACGCACACTCGAAATAAGTCAGGTTGCACTATGTATTTCTTCTGTGGTCCTTTTAGCGAGTTGAATCCCACTTCTGATGTGAGAAAATTATCATTTTCTTAGGGAAAATCAAACACTTCATAACTTGTATCACATGTATTCACTCCAGCATCTGTTACAAGACTGACTATGACTAACCACCTTGCCCACAAAAACACATCGCAGCACATCGGAATATTTACGGTCGCCAGAAGTAAACAAAACATATTCAATAGACAAAACATATTCAATAGACAAAACATATTCGATGGCGTAGCGTAGCGATTCAGCGAAAGGCTCACATACACATCCATTTTCACCAAATTGTGCATTTTAGATCATTATTGCTAGATAGACTTGAGAATACCACAGCTTGTGGAATTTGTTCAATGTAGGGAATTATATTATTGACTGATCAACATTACGAGTATTTGCAAGAAAATAATAAATATGCTTCTGCCTTCGATTCATTGTCTAGTTTCTTAAACATTCAAAATTAAAATAACAACATAACCTATAGTCAGAACTGTCAACTTGCCGGAAATCTCAATCAGTACACACAAGTACCTTACCGAAGAAGACATGATATTATCGAAATCGAGGAGGCCATAAAGGCGTCCTATGATTGTAGGATCGACTGACGATATGGCCCTAACGGACATTTTTATTAAAAGGTGTCGCTTGTGTATAGAAAATAATGGGGGCCATTTCGACAATGTTCTTTAAAAGTTAGTTAAATCAAATTATCTTCCGCATTTGTCGGTACATCGCCATAAAGAGCGGCTTAACACAATATGTTCTGTACTTGTAGGTGGTAAGGATTCTATTGCGTTTCTTACGTTTATGGCATCACAACAACGAATGCGACGTGATGCACTCATCGTAGCAAGCTGAAATTTTCAGGGTTCATTCTACATGGACCGGAATAGCTTTTACAATAAAATCAATAATAAAATACAACCTCAATTTTTTTTACCGCCCTCCAAACTTGAGGGATGCAAGAGATTTTTCACAAAAAAATGAATTTAAGATTTTTTGCGTTGATTTCTAATAAGCTCTGTTAAAAAGTGACATAACCATTGCTAAAACTAACGATTTAGCTCATCTCAGACAATAATCACAGCCCTAAACCTACTGGTTCGGTTGTAATTGCGATTGAAAGTTCATTATATAGTCTTTTTTGAAATGTCACAAAATTGCAAACTTCTCCTGAACTATAAAATTTCGGACCACACATATACGAGCTCATTCGATAGGTTTTGTGTCCCTCTATCACCCTGTTTATAATACATATATATATATACAGCATTCATAGTTAATTGCCTTAACTGTTAGGAGAAGATAACCTTTAATTTCTTTGGGTAGAAGGCAAAGTATTGCAAAAGTACACTCTTATAACTTAAATTCTCAAGCTTTCGAAGAATTTTATCTTCATCGTCTGGAAAAAGTCGGAGAGGTTGTTGCTGAAATTGTTTTTTAAACAACAGTGAAGGGAACACATAGTCGACGAATAAAAAACTGGACTGATAAGGTTCGATTAAGACGGAATTATTTTATTATTAAATGGCAAATCATTTTGAAAGTTTTTATTTAAAATTAGGCGTTGATTGATTTTGGAAGAAATTTGGAGATTTTAAAACTATCAACTATTGAAAATTCCCCCGAGATTTCATCTTTTTTTCCACTGATAACCTCCACATTATCCAGTCGGCCCGCACGGCCTGATTAGGAGAGCGTAGCGTCTACCACTACTCCTGCCCTTGTATTTCTTTCGTATCTCACTTCACTTTCGAGAAAAAAAATAAAAACAGTTTTATTGCATATCTCTGGACAAATTTTTTTTTATTAATTTTTGATAAAAAAATTACAAGTGCCTTGGAAAACAAAAATTAGCCTCTATACAACAAATAAAATGCCAAATTTCAACAAAATCGAGTAAATATTTTTAAAGATATTAATAAAAAACAAATGTATCACCCTGTGTCTTGAATTTCCGTCTATTTTTCAAACACCCTTTATATGTATATAGCATTGATTAATCATTTCATATACAGGTAGAGCAATTTCAAAACTGTGCAGCTAGTAATGGGTAATGTGAAGAGTGTCTTCCTGTTGGATAATATGATGAAACTGCAAAAAATATGGCCAGCAACATTTCAAGCTCAAGCCGCTCTTATTTTCCTTATCAGTTTTAATTCTTCCTATCCTGTATATTAGGGTGTCACAAACTCATGAAAGTTATTTTTTCAAACGCATACCCTCTAATTTTGCTTTTACAGTGTCAAAACAATTGTAAATAAAGTTTTATGTACCTAGAACCAGGGCAACCCGCCCCGAGTTGCGTTGGTGTTCGTTTATTCTACGAGTATTAGCAAACGCACTGTTTTCGTTCAGTCAACATGCCGAAGGAATTGTGTAGTTCTAAAAAGGGAATATTTGTAATAGGGGACGTAAAGCCTCAAATTACCAGCTTAAAACTTCCAAGTAATGGACAAGTACTAGCAGTTCTGATCTATAATATCCGGGACGAGTTTCCTATAAGCAAGTCCTCCATTCAAAGAATTCGTACCGAAAAGGGAAAGAAGCGCGTAGAAGCTATACAGCTTGATTTCCAAAGCGAGGTACCGGATACTATAACTGTCCACTGGGATGGAAAATTGTATCTACCTTTAAATGCACGCAAGTCTGAAGAAAAACGTCTACTGATTGTTATAACGTAAGAAAATAAAGAGCAACTTATCGCTGTGTCCAAATTTGACAACTCTTCAAGCAGCGAGCAGGCTCAGGCAGTTTGGCAGTTTGAGATGCTTTTATTGATTGGAATCTTGAAGATAAAGTTCAGATTTTCTGTTGTGATACTACTGCTTCAAATACGGGTCGCTTTAACGGTACCTGCGTGCTTCCCGAACAGAAGCTTAATAAATAAATGCCTATTTTTGCTTGCCGCCATTACATTTACGGATTGGAATTAAGTGGCGTGTTTTAAGCAAAGATCGACCAAGTGACTAGAGTCACTGACATTCCAATGTTTAAGAAGTTTTGCGAGAGCTGGAACAGTGAGGATCCCGAGAAAAAAAAAAAGATTTACTTATACTGAAAAGCTGAATATTTCAGGGACTGGCAAGCTGCTAGAACTTTATCGACATGAATTGGCAACAGATGTTGCTAGAGACGACTATCGAGAATTAATAGAACTTTCAATAATAATTCTTGGCGGAGATACAGAAAAAAATGTAAGATTCGACCGCCAGGCGCTATGCATCAAACCGTGGTTGCAATGCACTTCAACGCTAAAAGCACTTAACCGGAATTTATGCTTTTTAAATGCAACGAAGGCTTACGAAAGAATTGACAAAACCATTAATTTCAAAAGCAGCTTTACAAAAGTTCTGCCAACATTTATGGTATTTGACAGATGAGGTCTCCGCCTTATCTCTGATTGACGACGACGTAGATGAGGAAACTAAAGTAAAAATTGTTGCTAATTTAGCCAAAGAAAGTCTACCAGCCCACGGTAAACACTACATCCCATCGAAAGAAGAACTTGCTGATCCACTTGCTAGTTGCTGATGAGTTGCCAAAAAGCACAAAACATTTGTTCATGGTTGACTGTCTGAGGTCGGCTGGACGAAATCAGTATGTTTAGATGGTAGCTATACTTCGTATTTTCATTTCAGAGAAAAATATCGATGTCTTTGTTTCAAACAAAAGCAGGTCCTTATTCAGTCGACTCAAAATTGTTTTCTGGACGAGTGTCCAACTTTATGGCCACAATGATTCTTTTCAACACGCTAAAGGTGCAAATACTGAGAGCGCTTAGCGATACGGCAGGAAGAGCAGTCGAGTTAATGCAATACTTCCAAGGCTTAATCACTGCTGATGAGGAACAAAATCTATTTTTATTACGTTGCGAACAACAACACAAGTATATCCTGACTGTAAACAAAACTTTGAAAAGAACATTTATCAAATATCTAAGAAATATAAGAGACGAACCAAGCAGTGTTTAGTTTGTCCAATAAGAATTAGGTTTTGAATTCCATACATGGTTTCCCTATTAACTTTCAAATTCAAAGTTTGACCGGTTATAGCTTCCGGATCTCAATATTTACTTTTTTGTTGTTAGAGTTAAATGGAAAAGATGGGTGTGCGTATCTCAATTTGAACAAACATTTGTTTGCCCTCATAGGCTGGGACACCCTTCTGTATAATGGGAAAACTATATATTCTGAAATAATTGTTTTGGCAAAATGTAGCAATAATTATTGTTGAAGCGAACTTCCTAGTGGTCATCCCTGTTTTGAGTGTTTCACTCTGAAAACTGGCGCTATCGCTCAACCCTTTGTGGTTTTCTGGGCGTCTGGTCATAGTCAATTTACTTGGCTCCCGATGATATTCTAATGTCACCACGATGATTACTGATTGCCTATAATGTATGTTTTTTATCAGTAATGAAATGAAAGCGAACAAAACAGCTGAACTGCCAGGTAAAAAGCAGGAATAGTTACACGCGTTTCATCCAAATGGTTAACTTGCGATGTAGGACACTGCATCAAGCACAAGGGTTGTTTTACTAAATTCCATGGGACGTTATAGCTGCTCAGTTATTCAAACAATGCTATCATAGGTCACTTTTATCTCGGTGTAATATTGGTATAAGTCCTCACTTCTTTACTGGAACGAACGTTTCCTCCAGGTTAACTACCATACATATACAAATACAGTATGTTAACAGTATGGGTATAGCAGTAGTAGTAGTAGTATAGTTGAGGCATTATAGGGAGTATAAATGGCAGAATCGTCTTAATGTTACCAGGTGATGATACCTTAATGAACGGTGTTATCGGTCTGAATGTGCAATTAGGCAAATCGGAGGGTAGGAAGTTAGGTCAGAGGTCAAAGTTCTTCATGAGGCAGATATCATCACGCCAGTGTTGCCATTAATACAGGGTGCAGCAGCATAACTTCCTTTTTTCAAAACATAGCAAAACCCATGCTATGAATCAGACCATTTTTGATTGTTTTTATAATGAAGACGCATGTCCAAAGTTTTGTTTTAGATAGTTTTGAAAATCAAATCAGGTTGATGACGCCCTCCTTCCTCCATAGATAGATACGTAGATTGATATCTATTGATCATTTCAGTAAATTCATACATGTGACAAGTCAAAGTTGGAAAAAATGATTAATACACAAGGCAAATTAAAAATTACAATTTAAAAAAAGTAAGTACACGTGATAATAATTTAAAACTTGTAAGACAAAAACTCTTGTCAGTATAAGCTGGGTAGACCGATGTATGGCGTTTGTCATAACAGCCATCGTTGCTCTTGAGGTGTGTGCCGTTGTTGGAGCCAAAGTCCAACTCATCTAGCGGTGGAAGAAATTCCTGCAACATGTTTACTAACCAGTCCGAATTCACTGTCATTGTGATTTTCCTCAAAGAACCAGAGATAAATAATTCCAGCTGAAAAAATTGCACACCACACTGTGATCTTAGGTGAATGCAAATAGGCGTTTGTTGCAACTTTCGAGGATTGGTGTCTGGTGCCTGGTAGTGGGTGTTTTGTTTGTTGACGGAACCACACAAATGAAAATGGACTATATCACTAAAAGAACAATAGAGTCATCAGGAACGACTTTGAGGAGACGCCCACAAGCATTCATCCGAGAATTGAAGTAAGAAAATTCCTACACAATTGCCATCTTGTACATGCGCTTGCAAGTTGTTTTATACGCGACGTATCCCTTTAGAAATGACAAGCTGAGTAACACCAGCATTGTCCTCGAAAAAGAGGATATGATTAATGTTTGAAACGATGTCCATCATTTGTTCGAATCAAACTCGACCGCGGTGAATCTAGCAACAACGGCCAGCCAGCAACAAACGATAGTCCCTCTTCTCACCAGCGGCCGCGTCGCGCGTCGCTACAGCAGCGAAGCCGGCGCAGCCTAAGAAGGCGGTGCGGCACCGTCTTCCATGTAAAATGGTATTATAGTATCTACACAAACTTATATACATTGTGTGTTGTCAGTGTTATCACACTATCTATCACATTCCGTGGCCGGGGCATATTAAAACTACCAGAGGGAGCGAAGGTTACCTATACGAAACGCACATGGAAATTTGAAAATTAAAATTCTCAATTTTTCTTCAAATCAACACTACTTTTTTTTCACAAAAATCAATGCTACAATGCATCCTTCATATCCGGGATCAATTACACCTCGTGGCCGGGGCATATTAAGCCTACCAGAGGGAGCGAAAGTTACCTATATGAAAAGCACATGGAAATTTGAAAATTAAAATACTCAATTTTTCTTCAAATCAACACCACTTTTTTTTCACGAAAATCAAGTCTACAATGCATCCTTCATATCCGGGATCAATTATATCTCGTGGCCGGGGCATATTAAGCCTACCACAGGGATCGAAAGTTTCCTATACCAAACACACATGGAAATTTGAAAATTAAAATACTCAATTTTTCTTCAAATCAACTCCACTTTTTCTTCACGAAAATCAATGCTACAATGCATCCTTCATATCCGGGATCGATTACATCTCGTGGCAGGGGCATATTAAGCCTACCAGAGGGAGCGAAAGTTACCTATAAGAAAAGCACATGGAAATTTGAAAATTAAAATACTCATTTTTCTTCAAATCAACACCACTTTTTTTTCACGAAAATCAATTCTACAATGCATCATTCATATCCGGGATCGATTATATCTCGTGGCCGGGGTATATTAAGCCTACCAGAGGGAGCGAAAGTTACCTATACCAAACGCACATGGAAATTTGAAAATTAAAATTCTCAATTTTTCTTCAAATCAACACCACTTTTTTTTCACGAAAATCAATTCTACAATGCATCCTTCATATCCGGGATCGATTACATCTCGTGGCCGGGGCATATTAAGCCTACCAGAGGGAGCGAAAGTTACCTATACGAAAAGCACATAGAAATTTGAAAATTAAAATACTCAATTTTTCTTCAAATCAACACCACTTTTTCTTCACGAAAATCAATGCTACAATGTATCCTTCATATCCGGGATCAATTACATCTCGTGGCCGGGGCATATTAAGCCTACCAGAGGGAGCGAAAGTTACCTATACGAAACGCACATGGAAATTTGAAAATTAAAATACTCAATTTTTCTTCAAATCAACACCACATTTTTTTCACGAAAATCAATACTACAATGCATCCTTCATATCCGGGATCGATTACATCTCGTGGCCGGGGCATATTAAGCCTACCAGAGGGAGCGAAAGTTACCTATACGAAACGCACATGGAAATTTGATAATTAAAATTCTCAATTTTTCTTCAAATCAACACCACTTTTTTTCACGAAAATCAATGCTACAATGCATCCTTCATATCCGGGATCGATTACATCTCGTGGCCGGGGCATATTAAGCCTACCAGAGGGAGCGAAAGTTACCTATACGAAAAGCACATGGAAATTTGAAAATTAAAATACTCAATTTTTGTTCAAATCAACACCACTTTTTCTTCACGAAAATCAATGCTACAATGCATCCTTCATATCCGGGATCAATTACATCTCGTGGCCGGGGCATATTAAGCCTACCAGAGGGAGCGAAAGTTCCCTATACGAAAAGCACATGGAAATTTGAAAATTAAGATTCTCAATTTTTCTTCAAATCAACACCACTTTTTTTTTCACGAAAATTAATGCTACAATGCATCCTTCATATCCGGGATCAATTACATCTCGTGGCCGGGGCATATTAAGCCTACCAGAGGGAGCGAAAGTTACCTATACGAAAAGCACATGGAAACTTGAAAATTAAAATTCTCAGTTTTTCTTCAAATCGACACCACTTTTTCTTCACGAAAATCAATGCTACAATGTATCCTTCATATCCGGGATCGATTACATCTCGTGTCCGGGGCATATTAAGCCTACCAGAGGGAGCGAAAGTTACCTATACGAAAAGCACATGGAAATTTGAAAATTAAAATTCTCAATTCTTATTCAAATCAACAACACTTTTTTTCACGAAAATCAATGCTACAATGTATCCTTCATATCCGGGATCGATTACATCTCGTGGCCGGGGCATATTGAGCCTACCAGAAGGAGCGAAAGTTACCTATACGAAAAGTACATGGAAACTTGAAAATTAAAATACTCAATTTTTCTTCAAATCAACACCACTTTTTCTTCACAAAAATCAATGCTACAATGCATCTTTCATATCCGGGATCGATTACATCTCGTGGCCGGGGCATATTAAGCCTACCAGAGGGAGTGAAAGTTACCTATACGAAAAGCACATGGAAATTTGAAAATTAAAATACTCAATTTTGCTTCAAATCAACACCACTTTTTCTTCAGGAAAATCAATGCTACAATGCATTCCTCATATCCGGGATCGATTACATCTCGTGGCCGGGGCATATTAAGCCTACCAGAGGGAGCGAAAGTTACCCATACGAAAAGCACATGGAAATTTGAAAATTAAAATACTCAATTTTGCTTCAAATCAACACCACTTTTTCTTCAGGAAAATCAATGCTACAATGCATTCCTCATATCCGGGATCGATTACATCTCGTGGCCGGGGCATATTAAGCCTACCAGAGGGAGCGAAAGTTACCCATACGAAAAGCACATGGAAATTTGAAAATTAAAATACTCAATTTTTCTTCAAATCGACACCACTTTTTCTTCACGAAAATCAATGTTACAATGTATCCTTCATAACCGGGATCGATTACATCTCGTGGCTGGGGCATATTAAGCCTACCAGAGGGAGCGAAAGTTACCTATACGAAAAGCACATGGAAATTTGAAAATTAAAATACTCAATTTTTCTTCAAATCAACACCACTTTTTCTTCACAAAAATCAATGGTACAATGCATCTTTCATATCCGGGATCGATTACATCTCGTGGCCGGGGCATATTAAGCCTACCAGAGGGAGCGAAAGTTACCTATACGAAAAGCACATGGAAATTTGAAAATTAAAATACTCAATTTTTCTTCAAATCAACACCACTTTTTCTTCACGAAAATCAATGCTACAATGCATCCCTCATATCCGGGATCGATTACATCTCGTGGCCGGGGCATATTAAGCCTACCAGAGGGAGCGAAAGTTACCCATACGAAAAGCACATGGAAATTTGAAAATTAAAATGCTCAATTTTCCTTCAAATCAACACCACTTTTTCTTCACGAAAATCAATGCTACAATGTATCCTTCATATCCGGGATCGATTACATCTCGTGGCCGGGGCATATTAAGCCTACCAGAGGGAGCGAAAGCTTTTGTCTTTGAGATGCCGCGCCGCCGACTGCATAAGCGTACCCGCTGGTTGTTCCACTTCCACATTCATAAGAAAAAATTACATGGATTACTCTTAATACCTATTGAAATTTAAAATACTATTTTGTTTCTCAAATGTCTGGTAATATTTTATGACTAAAAACATGATAGTTTCTTTGATTAATGCATTAATTTGTAAATTGAATCAAGAAGGACTTATTCATTTCTTATTTACTTCGTCGCCGCCGCTGGCTGGGTGTAATCCCAATGATATTAGAAAGAACTCTTTGAGCTAGGCCCACAGACCCCACGCCTCTGTTCCTATTCTGGTATGGGCACAGCGGCGTATTCATGGGAGGGGTTTGGGGCTCCTCGGAGTCTACCCTCTCAAAGCGCAACAGCTCATTACGCTTGTTCTACATATTATACATGTTATACCTTCTGTGAAGTGTAGCTACCTAGACTAAGCGAGTCCCCCCCTCTGCTATGCAGTTTTATATCTCCAAGACACCCCTCCCCGCCCCAAGACGGAATTTTCGTGTCACCCTGGATCTTGAGCCTCCCCCCAGATCTTTTCCTGGATAACATCACTGGTTGATGGAAACAATTAATATCGCGAAATCGACCACAACAGTGGCTCCTACAAATCATTTTTATGTGCACATTTCAAATTTCCGTCATCGGACTAAACAAGGAAGTCACAGATGAATAAAATTAACAAATCATAACTGATCATAATTGTTTGTATTAGCAATGGGAGGATTTCTGGAAAAGCAAAAATTCTATATATTTGGTTTCTGCCTAAAGGGGCTGAACCTACCAGTATGTCTACAAAGTAAGAAGCACGTAGACCCGAATGCAGTTTTGTATAGACACAGAAAGTGGTTAAACTACATACTGGTGAAATAGTTTTCAGAGCTAATGAAATTAGTTGCAAGAAGGATAAATAGCCAGCGCTAATTTCGTAAACTAAACGTTTTTCATATTGATACTTTAGATGAGAATGTTCAGTTTCCAAACGTAACTATGTTCGGTAGCCTAGCACTTACGGCATGTCTATTCAATACCAAACATCCAAC